GACGACGACGACGACGATGAGGTCCTAACTAATGATGAAAATAGCGTAATTGTTGATGTCATTGACAACAATGACTACAATGACAACGAAGTTGCCAGTGATAATCATCATGATGATAGTCATTATGCTGACAACGGTGGGAGTGATGATATTGGCATTGGTGTTCACAACGCCAGCGACAGCGACAGCTGGTTTGTTCGTTACGACGACGACGACGACCTTGTCGACCCCCAGACCGAGCCCCCGTCCCTCTCGGAGGACGGCGCCGAGGGGGAGACCGACCCCCCGTCCGTCGAGGTTGCCCGGGAGGACGGCGACGGCGACGAAACCACGGCAACCACCACCACTACCACCACCACTACCACCACCACCACAACCACCACGGGGCTGCCTCCGTTTGGCACAGGGGGCGAGACCGAGGGCAAACCCACCGGTCCGCCGTCCGTCCCGGGGGGCGACGATGGCGAGAGAACAACCGAAACCGCAAAAGAACCCCCGGTGGCCCCGGACGACGAACTCCCCGGCGGCCCAGAGATCCCGATTCCCGTGCCCGCCGAAGGCGGTGGACCCCCGGGGGAACGGGGAGAGCCCTCGCCGGATCTGGCCGAAGACGGAGAAGACGACGACGACGACGATGACGACGACGGCTCCATCGATGACGATGACGATGACGATGACGATGACGATGACGATGACGATGACGANCGATGACGATGACGATGACGATGACGATGACGATGACGATGACGATGACGATGACGATGACGATGACGATGACGATGACGATGACGATGACGATGGCAGCGACCAGACCCAACCACCATCGCTCGGAGACTCGTCGGACACGGACGCGTAATCGTCTAGGATATACGGTGCGTTCAGAGTTGGTCCTGGCAAGACACCGGTGCATGCATTTCAAACAACAACAACAACAACACGATAGTATTTAAGGAGAAGTAGTAGTAACACAATTTGTCAGAAACAACAATCGTAATGCTCTCGTACCATCTGTGAGGCAGTACCATATGCACGACTGGGCCTTCCTCGCGGCGGAGGCCGCGTTGGGCACGTTCAGTCGCTCGCGAAGGTTTGGAGGACTCTTTCGACTCCAAAATCACGAGAATCTAGCAGAAGTACCGTATCTACTAGGGAATAGCGAAAAGTACGTACCTTTTTCACTGTGTACGATACRGTACGTACATTTCACCAACGGCGTTCGGGAAATGGGTGCCAATATTCTTTGGGGTTGGGGGGGGGGAATGTCGTGGGGTTGACATCGCAAGTGTAAATTTGCAATCATGCAATAATTTTATCCATTCTTCGTAGCTGAAGGAAGTCGAATACGTGGTGTGTACTTCGAAAAGATACCAAGCCGCCGTTAGAAATATGGTATGTACGGTATGTACGATCAAGAAAATACCTGTACTTAGGTTTTCCACTACTAGCGACCATAACRGTAAAGCGCACCGGCATATTTTCAAAATCATGTGTCCGATCCTCGGACGAAAATAAAATACGTCACGAGATCGATTATTCGTTGGTTCTTTTCCGAGAAGTGATGAAAAGAAGTAGTAGTATGAGGTACGAGAACAAAAATGGAAACTCCGGAATACTCAAACTTGCTTCCTTCTTGAGTCTGCTACCTTCATACGGTATAGCATTGGCACGGTAAAGTTGTCACAGCTAATAAATATAGCACAGGATTGTAGGCACTACTACTCGGTGCCATCCCTACTGCAACAGGACGCGACCGTCTCAATCACCAATACGGCAATTCAAGCACCACGAACGACGTCTCCTGCCACTATTGAATAAGAAAAGCGCAATGCGCAACTCTTCTACTTCCATTTTCCGATTGCAACGCAAACCATACCACAACCATTCAAAATCCGGGAGGACGAGACCAAGCCACCAAAAAATTAAAGACTCGCTGTGTCGTGTTGCGTTGTGTCCTGGCGCCATGGCAAGGAATTCGAATCGCGGTTCCGGTTCCGGGAATCCGGACCCCTCCCACGCGTTCCACGAACCTGCGTGCGGAGAGCCCGGGGCAAGGACTTCYGGGGCGTCCCAGTCGTTGCTCGGACCCCCCGAGCTGCTGCCGCCGTTGCGCGGCGGAAAAGMCCGGGGCGCAGACAGAGTCRCAGRCGCAGGCGCAGACCGGAATCCCTCCGGCCCCCGCCGGGGGTTCGAGGAGAGGGAGGATCCCAACGCGTCCGTGGGCCGTGGGGGGGACACCGGCGTTCGGGACGGCCCCGAACCCACAACGCAACGGGCCCGCCGTGCCGCGAGAGGCGAGGGAAGGGATGCACCGCCGGGAGGTCCGGACCCCCCGTTGTCCGCATCGAGCGGCGACGACCGCAACGACGACGACGAGAGAGGAGGGGGCCGGGAACGCACGCTCCCCGTGGAGGAGGTCGAACCATGCCCGCGTTGCTCCGAACCAACAGTGGGGGCAGCTCGAGACGAGAACAACGATGACGATGGCTATAGGTTGATGCTGGAAGAGGAAGATAACCAGAGGCGGCAATGGCTCGAGGAGATAGAGTCCCACCGAGCCCGGGAAGAAGAGTCCGAGTTGCACGCACTTCTCGACGATCAGATGCGGTTGTTTCGGGAAATCTATCCCGACGATCGACGAGAAGAAGGAGGAGAGGGGGTGGACGAAGAATCAATCCTGGAGGACGAGGGTGGAGACGAAGACGAAGACCTCTTTCTCCAGGGAGAAGTATTGCGGGGGGATGGTCAGATCGAGGACCTAGTGGCCTTTTGTGAAAGCCGCGATCGAGAACAAAAGCAACGGTCCGGGACTACCCATCGAGGAACCACGGCTTTTTCCGAGGGTTGCGCACACGCCGGTCAGCCGTTTGGGCACAATACTACGGGTATAGCAGCTGCAACCAACCACCATGGTGTTTGTGTCGTTTGTCTGGCAGCACCCCGGACCCATGCCTATGTCCCGTGCGGGCACCTGTGCGTATGCCAGTCCTGTGCCCGCCACCAGCTCAAGCAGCAACGGAAACAAGAACGAGAACGGGGTGGAACAGGGCTATTGGCCCCGAGCTGCCCGGTTTGTAGGCAACCGTCGGCGATGGTTGTGAAGATCTTCGTTCCGTAGGACGCAATCAAGCAGTCCCTCCATCGATCTACACCAGATCGGTAAATGGACCATTCATTCCTCGCGGTTGTGTGTGATTCGATTCTGATTTATTCGATCGGGTATGAGACTCGGCTAAACTCGATTGCGTCCGAATAGATTTAGAAAGTTCACGCATAGAACGGACTTGTGGAAGTATGTACTTGTTTAAAATAACACTGTTTCACATATTATGTATTACAATTATAAGAATATACACGCGCCGGTCAGTATGGCAATAAGGATAACAAATAGTGGTTGCATCGACGTTGACAAGGCAAAACAAATCGCACCCAGGGCTTCCTCACTGCCAGTACGAGATTAGCATTCCGAAACCAGCACAGCACAACAAAACCGTTGGTGTGGATTGCACCACCGATGAAGGAGCACCGCTCCCCGAGGAATCACCGCCGTTGTTTCCACTACCGAATGAAAACCACTGCTTGACTTTGTCGGTGGCGCGGGAAACCTTGTTACCGAGGGTATCTTTGGGTACGCGATCGATCTTAATCGAAAAAATGCCCAGATAGTCGTAAAAGACCTCCGGTTCTTCGCCTTGGCCATCGTCCCCACCAACGGTCTCGTCGGCTTCGGTTTCGTCTTGCAGGACTCGGTACAGATACCGTTCGATCCACTGCAGAGGACTCGGATTCCGGCCAGTGTTCGGATTGCTGATGGCGCCGTCGTTGCCCCCGTTGTCGGTATGGTTGCGTGCGCTTGTCAGTCGGCGTTGGCGTTCACGCTGTCGTTTGCGGTTGCCTTCGCCGTTGCGGCTATCGACGTCGGCTTCGGGTTCCGTTTCGTCTTGCAAGACTCGGTACAGATACCGTTCGATCCACTCCAGAGGACTCGGATTCCGGCCAGTGTTCGGATTGTTGGTGGTGCTATTGTTGCCGTCGTTGCCTCCGTTGTCGGTATTGTTGCGTGCGCTTGTTAGTCCGCGTTGGCGTTCACGCTGTCGTTCGCCGTTGCCGTCCCCGTCGCCTTCCGGGGGATCCCCTTCCGCCTCCCCTTCCAGGCTCAAATCCTTCACAAACACGATACCTTCGCACTCGAAGAACTCTTCGGACGACGACAGGTCGGAATTGACAATGGCATCAAGGCTGATGACTCCGTTGTACTCAACAGACCCGCCATTGGCCAAGGCAAAACCGATGGTCTCGTTCTCGACAATGGTCAGCGGAGACGAAAGACCACCTCCCTCTTCGACGATTATGGTCTCTTTCTTGTTGCTTCTGCACACCACCGAGTCGAATCCTAGCACGTGGTATTTGTTTTCGTAACCCTTTGAGGGGCCGACGCAGATTCGAAATGTCTGCCCCGTATAAAAGGTCCTCAGGGAATTGTAGACACCGACTTCGTCGCTCTCGAGGGGCGATCCGCACAGGACCGCCTCGATGACGAGCTTCGGCAGAAACGGGACCGCGTCCTCGTCCTCCCCAGACGAGGCGGTGGAGTTGGCCTCCGTGGCATTCCCCCGCACCTCCTCCTCGAGCTGGTCCTCGTCGGGACCAATCATTTGGTTCGAGTAGACCTTTACGTCCGAGAACTCGTCGGTGAAACGTGTGTAGTTGTTCTCTTCTGTGGGTTCGGTCACCTCGATTTTGAATTTCGTGTCGAGAAAGGATGCCACTGTTTGGCTGTTGTTCTCCTCGAACAAGCTGAGGCGCACGCAGAATTCGAGGGTCCCTGTTTTGTTTGTTGGGTGTGTCGTTTCCCAAAAGAAGCAAGGCGAAGTTCCAGACGCGTGAGCAAGTCATCCCAGTTTTTGGTAGTACACAGAGAGAAAGAGCATTTCGAGCAAACTTCACACACCAACAACAAGCACAGCACGGCACGGCACAGCAACGAAATACCTACCGATGGGCATGGAACCCTTGAGGGGATACCAGATATTCATGATCGAAGCCGATGTTTCGTTGTAGTAGAAGGGATCCTCGAGCGAGAAGCGCACCGCACCAATCTTTCCGTTGGTCGATCGCGGGTGGCAGTCCACCGGTACCCTTTCCCGTTCCTGGTCCTCGCTGGTTTCGAAAAAGCGCTGGTTGTTGTAATCGTCAAAGACCACCATGTCGTAGTTGAAATTGTCCACGCGATCGTCGACGCCGGTCATGTTTATCAATTCCTTTCCCAGAACGATCCCCTCGTCGCAGGGCGAGAGACCAATGTCGATGCCACCGTAGAGCTCGGCAACGGCCCGCTTCGAAAACCCGCTGGTGATCTGCACCATAATATCCGGGTCGACCTCGAAATAGATCTCTCCTTCCATCGTGGTGTTGGTGATGTTGAGGATCTTTCCGATCCCGGCTCCGATGCCCGTCTTTCGGTTTGCTTCCCCCCTCATCCCGGTCGGTTTGAGCTGGTTGTATTTTATTTCGTACTGATGGATTGTTGTTGGCAACGGTCGCATTCGATTCGATTCGATTCGATTCGGATCGGTTCGATGAAAGGCGAACAATGCAGTAATGCAACGCAATGCAATGCATTGATTTGTCGTGTATGCATGCATTGCGTGCGAGTACCAATCGCGTCGTGCCACGAAATGGAATAGAACGGAATGCCGGATCAGACACGCAAGTGACGCACATGCACGGCAAAATGATTGGCGGATGCAAAGCACACCGGAATTTTTGTGTTGTGTTTTCGGAAAGAAGAGGAATGGAAGCAATGGAACAAAACAACAAGACAAAATAGAACAGAAAAGAACCGAGTGCCGTGAGCAACAACACGGGACAACCTGCGAACCTGCGCGCATATTGGCCCTCGGTACCGCAAGACAAACAGCAGGCACCGTAGCGTGCCGTGCCAGCAAACACTGTTGACAAACACAACACACACCGACACGACTCACTTTCGGGGGCATTTCGTCCAGGACCGACTCCTCGGCATCGTCGGGTGGGATCCATCCCATGGTCCCGAACTCCGAAGCGCACACGATCTGGTCGGGATCGGTGCATTCGCAGCCGGGGATGCACCGGTTGTCGCGGCACTCCACGGCTTCGGCGGTGGTGGTTGTGGTCTTCCCGGTTTTGGTGTTTCTCGTGGCCCACCACCCGTCGAGGCCGAGCAACAGCAGCGACCCGAGAAGCCACAGAGACAGAGCCGGCGTTTCGGGGCATCGGACGCGACAGCGCTTGTCGGTCCCCGTCATTCTCTGGTGCCGTCTGGTGTGCCGTGCCATGCTTTCGTTATCCGATTCGATGGGTCGATTCTGATTCCTCTTGGTTCGAGAAGCTGATTGTTTGTCTTAATTTCCCGCAGCATCTCTTTTACTAGTGCATGTACAGTGCCTGTTCCTGCTACTGACAGATTCCTTTCTCTCCTACGAGATGCAGATGCAAACACAGGAATCCAGCAAAGGCAGAAAAGGTTGGCAATGGATCGCGCAAAGAACTAGTAGTAATTACGATTCGACACCGAGTCTTGTGCTTTCGACAACAATCTCTCTGCGGAAGGTAAATTTCCATGGGTCAATTGTCAATTTGATGCACACGTGATACGAGTAATGCACGTACGATACGGAACATACTGTAGCACTGAAGAAGAATAGCACGCTTTTTCCCGTCTGATACCGGATACGGCCAAGCGTACTACTCGCAGGAGTGGTAGCAGTTGCATCGAATTTCGAACGCCCTATGCTGGAAGTACGCGTACCATCGAAAAGAGAAATACTGTAGTGGGAATGATGTACCGTATGAGTTGTTTCAGATTGAAACTCGTGAACCCTTAAGTGCTCGAAATTTGGTGCTGTTTCGGAACTTCGTATATTACGCATGCTCTGGATTTTCTTATGGTTTTTGCAGAAACCCATTGATATTTGATATGCCTTTCTTATGAAAACATTTGTATTTCATTTAAATGCCTCTCGGTGTATTTCGGAAGGCAATCTTTGGCTCACATAGTCACCTCAATACTTGTATTCGATTCGGAATCAGAATACGTAATCGTGCGACTACGTACGTACGTACTTACTGGGACTACGAAGCGGTGCGCTATGCACTAAGCACCGTAATTTAGTACTCGTACTGTAATTTAATAGAAGTAGTGCTGACCGTAGGGTATAAACATACTGCTCGTACTCATGAAGAGTAGATACGATGGTACGATACAGTTCGATAATCGATGCTACTAATACAAACGTACGTACGAGTACTACTGAATATTTCAAAGCCACAAAATTGAGAGCCGTTATTGCCAGTACGTACGAAGCAGTTGTTTGTGGTATACAGGGGGGGGGGAATATCTTTCCCCATCCTTCCGCAGAGCAGAGCAGAGCAGTGCAGTGAAGTAGGAATTCGTCGTGCGTAGTACGTACGTACGGTACGAGAAACGTAGCTTCGTATTATGTATGACTCCTACCGTACGTACCATCTAACCCACAAGAGCTCTGTTGAGTGGTCACACAACAGTGGATCAAATCGAAAAATACGAATATGAATGATGAACCCACGCATCTCGATGTTGGAACGGAACGCTGAAAGATGTTTCAACCGATAGACGTAAGCTTCATCATATGATACAACYACATAGGCTTCTTTCTTTACTGTCGACCGCTATGACTACACTTTGTGATTTCATAAGATCAGGTTTCTGATTAATACTATATTTTGTCTAATATTATAGTTACGAAGTACTCACTGATGTGAGTACTTATGAATTTGATGATAGTTATGATGTGCAGTGTTTGATCTTCATGGTTTACAGATGCGCCCACTTGGTGGTACAGGAATGCATGCAACATGTACCAACAGGCGATGGTCGCACCGGGGGGGGGGGGGTGTTTTCGTCTACACGGAAGATGTGTTGACGCAATTGGAGTGGATGTGGTTACTTCGGTTCCAAACGAGATTTGTGTGTGTCGCTGCTGCATTGGCACCGATTCAAAACAATCGGAACGTTTAGCTCGAGGATCCGCTGGAGGAACTAGAAGAAGTTGCGGCAGTCGTCGCGGCTGTTGGGGCTCCGGTAGGAGAGCCCGAAGGAGCGGCGGAAGGAGCGGCCGAAGGAGCAGCGGAAGGAGCGGCCGAAGGGGCTTCGGTGCTTCCYCCCTTACCCTTCTTGGACGACTTCTTGGGTGGTGGAGTAGGGTCGGACTTCTTGGATCCCTTTTGCAAACGACGCTGGGGGATTCCAATAACGGAGTCGTTGCTTTCGTCGATAATGGCGGCGTTGGCAGAGAGGGCCATGAAAGCGGCGGCGAGAACGGTAGCTTTGAAGTACATCATTGTGAAATAGAGTTTTCTTGTTTGAAGATTTGAAAGTTTTTGTTCTTGTTGTAAGCTTTTCGACTTTGGAGTTGTGAGAAGATGATTTCGGAACCATAGGAACAGGGTTGTTGCATTGCTTCGCATTATTTGAAACGATTGGCTTCATTCTACCATGAAATTCGATTCGATTTTTGGTGGGCGCGCACTTCCAACCCAAAAAATGAGTACGAGCCGTTGGATGGCGAGAATTGGTAAGACTCATCCGAGTTTTCTGGCCAGAAGTGCCAATCTCTGTTTGGACGAGAGACATTTCCTTAAATAACTATTTTAAATTCCGCAACAATTATATCGAAAATGACCGAATTTTTCTAAGCACGGAGCCGAGTCAGTCCTCATATAGTTCACTAAAAAGTTTGATCGTTTGAAGTCGCCGAAGTTGCCATGCGTTGAGTATTCGTCGTCTACATTTATTAAGGGAACAATTTTGTAATGGTTCGGAAGTTCTGCCACATTCCGATGCGTCACATTTAAAAACAAATATTATTGCCCAAAGCTTTCAAATTGCGATCCGAGTCATCGATTAAGGTTACTTGTGTATGAGAATTGTCAACGGACCCTTCTCGCCGATTCAAAACAATGTGGAATTTGTTGTTGCACGTGCTCCCACATTGTTCTTCCATTTGCACGGAACACATTATCCTACCGTACAGTACTGTACGTACTGCAAGTCGATTTTTTTCCATCATGACGATTCTTGGATGCGTCAAAAATGTTCGCCTGCGCAGGAACGTTCGGTACCGTACGTACCGTGCGTCATTTAAACAAATGCACGAGTAGGAAAAGCTATGTTTAATACCCATTACAACATGTGCCATCTGGGCACGACTATTTGTTTACTAAACTTCAATAAATATTTTTGTCCATCCGTAAACGGCACTCATATTTGTTTGCCGTTGATGAATTCCCCTAAACGAAAATCTTGATGCCGTATGTGTATTGGAACTGGTGAACTCTTTTGACCACCGAATTGTAGTACGTAACTCGAAGCTTGAATCAATCGGGAGGAGATCATTACGATCTCGGTACGAAACACAAATACACTGGCGTAGTYATTCCGGGATAGGCGGCGAAGCTGTAGCGATTACAAGGAGGGAAAGCCGTTGAGGCTGCCCTGTCCGACGAGTAGAGTGCAGACAATAGGACTGTGCCCATCCGACTTATTGCATCATACGCGACGCCTGACAACATGAATGAAATCCGTGTATTGAAACAGCGTGCGCTGCTTGCTGCCTCGATCCTAGCGTTGTCGGTRKTGCAACACGTGCTGTGTTCGCCTCTAATCCATCTGGACCCGGGCACAAACACGAATTCAAATACACAGAGATCGCTGCGTCGAGGATCCACCGCTGCCGCCGGTGCGATCGGCGCTCCACAAGAGCCTCGTAGGTTACGATTCCAAGAACCAGAAGAACAACAAGAAGATGGCGTCAAAGGTCGGACGGGCTTCGTGCCTCACAATGCGAACCATAGCGTTGGGTCCAACACGGATGATGGTGATTTCTCTCGAAACAATAGCAGGAATTCCCGCCGTCATCTCTTGCAAGACACCAGCTGTAATCTCATCCTCAAGGACATTGAATACGCACCCACGGCCGAACATCCCAACGGATATTCCCGAGAAGAATGGATGTGTGAACTACCCTCGGACGATTCCTCTAGGATCGGTGGCATTCAGTTCATCGACATTGCAGACGCCACCCGCCTCGTGGAGGAATCAAACGCGGCGGCCTACGAACAGGGGCGAACTACCGCCCACGCAATAACTCCTATGCCTCCAATTGTCTCGGGCGAATCGACGCTGACCTTCAGCTCGGCCATTATCGATACCGGTGGGGAAGATGGCAATCCGAAACTCCACGTTCCGCAAGACTCCATGGTGAAGGTGAAAACCATTTCAAAAGACCAAGACGAATACGAATACCAATACCAATACCAATCCGAATGGGATACCAAAAAAATAAACGACAATGGCAAAAGAGAACAACGAAAGAAGAAGCAAAGACGGAGACGGAAGCGGGCGCGGAGAGAACAAAGAAACAGAAACGGAAACGGGAGGAGACTCTCGACTAGTCCCTCCGCCTTCGGCACCCTCAACACACTCGTGGTTCGCGTCGTGGATCGGAGGGGGATCGGTCCCGATGCAAGCATCGAACAGCTCTATGATGACGTCTTTGGGGACACCGCCTGCCTGAAATCGCAGTACGAGGCCTGCTCGTACGGGAAGATGTCCATCGTGCCCGCACGCGGTGGGATGGTGATGACCGGCAGGGGGATCGTAATACAGAACGGGGTCACGGAACTCCGAGTTAACTACGACGTTTCGATGCCCCACAGCAACAAGGATGCCCTTCAGCAAGCTGTACTGGACGCTACCTTAGTGCAGTTCGGAACCAACCTCAACGTGTCTCCGCACTACGACCTTGTGTTGTTTTGCATGCCCCCTGGAACAGGAGATTGGATCGCCTACGCCTTTGTGAACCACAAATTTTCCTTTTACAATAACCAGTGGTGTTCTTCCGTAACCTCACAGCTCCACGAGGTCGGCCACAACCTGGGGTTAGACCACAGTGGTGAATACGAAGGTGGAGGCGGATACGTAAGTTACGCCGATCAAACCGGTGCCATGGGGTTTTCCTACGACGCCGACGATATGCGGATTTGTTTCAACCCCGCAAAAAGCTATCAGCTGGGATGGTATGCTGACCAAGTAAAGACGATCAATCCCCTAGCTCCGAACTGGGACGCTACCCGCCAGTTTCTCCTCAACGGTGTTTCTGATTACCAACGAAACCCTGAAACCGCCCTCATTGTACTTCGGCTCGATCAAATGTGGAAGGACGAAGACTATTACATCGGATACAACCGAAAGCACGGCATAAACGATGGCACCTTCGAAGACCCGAACAAGGTAACGATTGTCCGCAAGGAGTTTGGAAAACCGCATGAGTATGGACTCTCGACGAAGGTGGCTGCACTTGGCGTTGGTGAATCGTACGTTATCGAGAATTTCAATGACGAAGAGGGCAAGAACGTGGAAATCAAATACATTGGCCACCACCAAGGTGTCGACGTCACCATCGAAATAGTAGACCTATCTAGAACAGTAGCTGTAGAAGAAAACGCAATTGAAGTTCTCGAGGAACTAAATCCAGTCGAAGATACGGTGATACCAGAATGTGCTATTGTGACAATAGAAATCACGTTTGATCGGTTTCCAGAAGACATCACCTGGTCCATCGAGGAAGCCAACGAAGAAGATTCAGTTTCTAGTGAACGAATGGTCTATGCTTCTAATCCTGTTTATGACAAAGAACACGACAAGGAGAACACTGTTGCCACACATGTCTGTCTGCCTTACTGGAACGCCAACGGTAATAACACGTGGGATGAATTCGGAAATTACACATGGGATTTCGTGGATGCTAATTCTACTTTTGGTTTCCTGGATACTAACAGCACGTGGGATTACGCGGATGCTAACAGCACGTGGGATTACGCGGATGCTATCAACACGTGGGATTTCCAGGATTCAAACAGCACGAGGGATTTCCAGGATTCAAACAGCACAGAGCCAGACGATGACAGCATGAGCTACAGATTCATTATTTTAGACTCGTACGGTGACGGCTTGTGCTGTGGACAGGGAGAAGGTTCGTACCGAGGACTCGATGCGCAAGGGAACGAGATTTTCAGCGGGGGCACCTATTTCTCCTCCAAGGAACACCTATTTCGAGTGTTTCTGCCTTTTGGTGCTACCCGACCCTTCGTGGAAGTTTTGAATTTGGAATCTGATCCCCTGGTGCGAACAGAGACCAACGATGAAGACACCGTGATTGACCTCTAGAAAGCAGGAAACGAGAGCTTTGGAATAAAATGGAATAGAGCGGATGCGAAAGTTATCACTAGCTGATGACGGTCCAGAACACGCAACGCAAGGGAATAACATGGTTTTTAATTAGTTAATCGAAATTGATATTAAATATATCGGTAATTGCACGTACTACTGTAAAGCAAAGCTGAACCGACAACCGGACGAAATGGAAAACACTTGAAGAATTGGAAATGAAATTAAGCGCAGCAAAGTAATGGATTATTTCAAAATAGTCTTCCAGAATACAATTCTCTCTAACAAACCATACGCATTGTACATGGAGATTAGAAAATCTGTTTAATTATTATGAACTGTTGCTTTGTAACTTTCCTTAGCCATCAATGCTCACCGTGATTGGCAGTAATGGGTTACCGCGTTGGTCTGTTTTAAAATATTCTTGTAMCAGATGAAAACGAAAAATAAGGGGGTTTGGCGCAGTTGGCAGCGCGTGTGCTTAGCATGCACAAGGTCGCCGGTTCGATTCCGGCAATCTCCATCCTTTATGTGATCCAAGAAATTCATGCAACTTTTTGACTAAGAAGGAAAAGAATTTGCACTTCTGCTTCAAAATCATTGAGGCACGGTGTCCATCCTTTTACAGGAATTATACCAGAGCATAGCAGTAGTCATAAATTAGAGAGGGGTGTGCATTGTTTTCAATGCTAAGATTCAGAGGAGAGTGACACGATACTAGACTAGTACTAGTAGTAGTACTATCTGGTGTATCCTCACAAGGTAGTAGCTAGTAGTATGTTATGACTCTTTTTTTAATGATTCCCACCACCTTAAAATTATCCTTATTGTTACTTGCATTACTCCTCCTTGCTGTTTGTCTTCTTTTTGTTTCTTTCTGGTGTGTGCTGCTGGCAAGAACAGTTTTTACTTTTCATACTTTTGGCGCTTTATCAAAGGTCCTCCATAAAATTGTTGCTGTTGCAGTTGTGTCCCTGACAAGGAAACTTGCTACTGCTAGTAATACAACAGCAACTGAATTCTGAAAAGGTCAAAGGTGCTGTTGTGCTGCTGTTTTTTCAGCTCTTTGTTTCAAAGGGATTAGTACTAGTACTACTAGTATCATTTTACTTCATAAAGAATTGTTTCTTCACCCCTGCCATTTTCCCTCCCATTGCATCAGAGCCAACAAAACAAAATTAACATGGGACTAAAACAAAGTACCACATATTTTGATCAAGAATAGTGACCATCCTCTATGATGACAAGAAGTTTCCTATCAAAAATTATTGGCACAATTATCTAGTATTTGATCATCCTGCTGCTGGTGGCCCTGCCTATCATTCTTGTTTGTTGTTGCATGACACATGATGCACATATCAAAATGACTAATTGAATGGAACATATTATCTACTAGTACTCCAACATTTTTTGTACTATGAAAAAATCCTCTTTGTTGTTCAGCATGATTAGTACTGAGGTCAAAATAAATAATCCTCCTCAATTATCATAATTGAAGTTAAACTAAACAATCTGCACATGCAGTAGTAACAAGAATAAGCCCTCTGCTGACATCATCAGCTCAGTCATTACTGGAATTGGGATGATGCAGTAGAATATTGAGCTTGTCACAAATCAAAATCTTAAGAAGTTACAAACTGGCTGGTGGGCACCACTCTTTCTGGTGGGAGGTACTAGTAGTACTACTACTAGTAGTAGATGAGAGCAATACTCAAGGATCATTTTTGAAATTTTCAATACTACTAGAAATTGAGGCACCAGATATTATTAATTATGACTTCTTCAGGTTCCTTGTCACAAACAAATGGCATCTTTGTCTGTCTACAAAATAAGCATGAGTTTGATTTTTTTGGCACATGAAATTACAGTCTAGTGTTAACAAGGCAGGAAAGAAAAGGTTGGCACTGGTGTGGTGTCCAATGCACCTCTTTTGAACAATACTACTAGTGACCAATACAAGAAGAAAGCTATATACCTGTAGTAAGAAGGAGTATACAACTAGCCTCAAAAATCATCTATTCTAGGCCATTGGGTTCAGGTAGCACCAGCATATCACTGGCAAAATGAAAACTATTTATTAGAATTATTCTATTTGAAGGTTAATTCCAGTCTTGCTAACAGCACAAGAGTAATAGCTCAACAAAATACTATTCAATGAGATCCTCAGTAGTAAGACAAAAAAGAGCTATTCAAAGTTCCCTTACATTGAGCTTATTTCAGCAGTTTTAAAGGTGCAAACTATTCTGTACACATACAGCAGTGGACTGGAGGAAGTAGTAGCAAAAAGTTGCTGCTGGAGATGTCACTGCTGGAAACCATGATCTTCTATTTTGGGGGTTCTTCTATTGGCTGTATCAAGGATCATACTGCTAGTACTACTAATAGTAGGGGTATTGTCATGATCATCCTTGTTGCAATATAATTTTCCCCCTTCAAGATACTACTACTAGTTGTAGGACATTAATCAGAGCAATATATTTGATAATTCTACTACTAGTACTACTAGCATTATTTTTATTATTATTATTCACAGTATTTCTTGACTTCTGATTAGTTCCACCAGCGGCACCAATTCTRGTTAGATTAGTAATTTCAGATGTCATTCACTAAAACTTCTTCCTCTCTTGTTCCAATAGATATTTCCTGATGATTTTTCCTGCTCACAAGAAGGAATTAGTGTCCTCATTAAACTCTCATCAATAACAATTTAATTTAAATTGCAATGAAATATGACTGATTGTGTTGTACCACAATTATTCTACTGACCAAGAATTTACCAGGCAACCTGCTGCATGACAAAGAAAACTAGGAACCAGAAGAATGACATCATCATCTGAAAAAGAATGACCATGATACTATGAGAAAGTTCCCCGCCATACTACTCAAGAGGATGATACTACTAAGCTCATCAAAATGCTACTATTTCTTGGCTTTCCATTTCTGCAAGATTGGTCTTTAATGGCTACTAGTGGAACCCATTCAATCAGTAAAATAAAATGTACCTACTAAGAATTGCTATGATGGAATAGGGCTGTTCCAATCTTAGTACTACTAATTTCATGACACTAATAGTAGTAGTAGAGATTCTAGCTCATAAAAAGAACTATTCAGATTGCCCAAATATTGAGCTTACTTCATTTACAGAAAGGACACCTGTCATTTAGCTCTAGTATTTATCAACCAACTGCTAGTAGTAGTAGTATGCATATCCAATTTAATGCACACCAGATGCAACATAGAAAATTTCTTCACTCCTAACAAATAGACCTCTGGCTGCCTATTCATCACACCAAAAACAAGTACCATCTGTTTCAGCCAACAACTCAGTTTGTGCTGAATTGAACTCTTTCTCAAACCACTCCCAGTCAGTTTTCAGAGGCATAGAATACCCTTATAGTAGACAAAGAATGACTTTTCAGGATAATCAGGTTCATAGAGTGAGCACTTTGTGGAACAGAATCTGGAAGTGTTGCATCCATCAACCATGCCTAAATACAGCAAGTACAGACACCAGCAGAGCAGTTCTTGCCTTACATTAAAGAACCCCTTCCAGCCTGACAAGCTGGTGAAGTCCATTACCATATCACCAGTGACCCATCCTGAGACTGGAGAAGTAGGAACCAGAGTGGCCTCAAAGAAACTCACCAGAAGTTGCCTGGTCTTTGCTKGTGATTTGGACTATAGGAGTTGTTCTATGTACAGGAAAACTTCAAAGATACAATCTTGGATCTGGAATTGAAGGGAAAATTGATTGATCATAAGTGGCAAATGGTTCTCTCTCACACACACCCAGACTCAAGTGTAACAACCTTTGAAGAGTCAATGACCCTCTGAAGATAGATAGAAGGAACAAAGCAGACTGGGTGGTGTGTAACTAGAGAGAATGCTATCAGAAGAGTTGAAGTGAGATGTGCAGGAAGATAGATTTTGGCCATTCTTCTTGCAAGTATTGCCTTCCCTTGAATATTCCTGACAAATGAAAAGCTCTCAGAAGAGTTATATTCATGTTCATGTTTACATCTGTGACTCTTGATAAATTCATGAGGGCCATTGTTCTCTTCCAGTTTTTGGTGCGTCTTCTTTTCCCAGCATCAGCTCAAACATGTTAATGTCAGTATTACCAAAGCTGGTATCTCCTTGTTCTTCTAACTCTTCAACTTTGTCATGTTGTTGTTGCAGAATGTTGTTATTAGTAGTAACAGTTGGTGTTTCAAAAGCAACCACCGTACATTAAAGTATCTTGGACAAAGATTCTTCCCTTCTTATGGTTGCTCCTCCACAAAACCTCATTGTCCTGCTCAGGGGAACACTAGTAGCTAGTAGGAGCATTCTTCTCCCCAGAAGTTATGGTTCTGGCAAATATGGTGCCTCTTGTAGTTCACAAGGTTAAACATAGTAATATGAAGATTTTTTTAAGATTAAGCCATCAGTTCCACCAGCAGTACTTTTCTGCTGATAGCATTTTTGCTATGTTCATCTTCATAAATTATTGGTTTTATTGAAGAATACCACTTAATATTTATTTTTCCTCCTGCTGTACTAAACTAGAAGAGACACAGGGAAGAAGGCCAGAACTCTCAGCACTTCTAGTAGTTGGGAGAAGGATGCTCCTAATAGGCTCTATGAGGGGCTGGTGCACTCCTAGGGGAATGTCATCACCAGCCAGGGATCTTCAAAAATAGATATCAAGAAGCTCTTTTCTTATTCTTGCTCTTCTTAGATTGAGGAAGGTACTACTAGTACTACTAGTAGTAGTAGTGGTGGTGGTAGCAGTAGTAATCCTACTATTACTACTAGCTACTACTACTACTAGCCTGTATTCTAAATAATCTAGATTTGGGAGCAAGGAATCAAGGTGATGTTATTCAGAGGGAAGTTCTGGGGTCTTTGGCTTGATTCATTATTATCTTCTGCCACATACTGTACCAGAGGAGTTACAAACAACTTAATTCAGAAAATACTTGAATAATTTGGTCATACTACTAGTAGTAGAGGAGGATTGTGGCTTTAGTCATTGTTATCCAGCACAAACATCAGAACTAACATAATTATATGAAGATGGCTGTCAGAGATCATACTGATAAGGAAATTTCAAAGTGATTACTACTACTACATAGCTAGTAGTAGTATGAGCAGGAAAGAATGAGTACACAAAATAGTTTTCAGGAGGACAATCAGGGAGCTCAAGTGTAAGTTGTTGTCACCATACAACACCAGTGCATCTAAATTACTCTTATGAAGATACATTAGTAGTAGTACTAATACTACTAGTAGTAGCTGTTATCTTTTAATGGGGAACACCA